CTCATTGAAAAATTAATTCTAAAAAATCGGGTCAAATTTCTCGGTGACTTTAATCGTTAAAACACTGATCTTTTTTAGGAATAGTTTGGCCTACGACCGTTAAATACAACAGTTTGTTTTTTGTTTTTTTTGGGGGAGGGGGGGTTCTAGAAGAGCTTCTTTCCATTACAGTGCATATATATATATATATATATATATATATATATATATATATATATATATATATCAATGGCGACTCTAGGTCATGAATGCTTGCTGGAATCATTACAGTCTTTAAGAAATTATATTATTGGTATAATTTAGATGCTAAAATGATTCCTTTACTTTAACTAAAATATAATTTTTAAAAATGTGCATGAAATTAAAAAAACATTTTAGTATTGTAATATTAATTACAATAATTCTATAAAAATAAACATTTATTTTAAAAATATTTTCCAGACATGTAAGAAAAATGAAAGAGGAAAAAGTCTTTGTTATATTTGTTTGTTTGTTTGTTTATCTCCCCCTTTTCGTTTTTTATTGCATTATGGCCTGATTATCAAATCACTGATAGTAGAGTGTTTGTATATATGTCTATGCATTAGTGGGTTGGGCACCTCGAGGCGATGTAATGGTTAGCAAGCTTGCCTCACTAGAACACTTACGACAGAGAAGTGAGTTCGATCCTCACTGGGTGCCTATACTTTCAGTCTTGTGTCATATCTAAGCTACGCTTGGAAAATCACTATGCATTAGTATCTCTCTGTGAATTTTCAGTTTAATTTTTTATACGTTTATGATCAGTACTGCTGACCATTATATTTCCTCAACACTACCCCAGTCACCCTCCAGGGAACGAGTTAAGGCTGCCAATTTCTTTGATTTTCGCCGAATTTAAGTCGGGCTAAATTTAATTTGCCCTTTCTCAAAAGAAACATTCCGTTAAAAAATCATTATACTGCATGGAATAAATTATTTAAAATAAACAATAAATTGAAAATAAAAATGTAAACAATAAATTGAAATAAAAATGTGTTCTTTGAAAAAAAGAACATACAAGTCATTAGAGATTTTTAAAAGACTATTTATAAAATTAAAGCAAGAAATACATTGTCTGTTATGTATGTCTCCAACTTTGATGGGGGTCAAATCTACGCAGCCCCACTAGCCAAGTTAATTTTATTTCATTCATTTTTTACTTACTTTCTTTCTTTGTTTTTTCTTTCTTTCTTCTTTATTATGAACAATATCAACGAAATGTGTTTCGGTCAATATTTTGAAGTACGGTGTTAAAACAATTAATTTTGTATCCAGCTTAAGTCAAGAATGAAAACGACGCATTACGAAAGATTTTTGTTGCTTTGAAATAGATATAATTGAATATTGACTCACTCGGGCTGATCCTGAGAAGCCCGACCCCCAGAGTCGCCTATCCTATATATATATATATATATAATATTTCGACGCATGCTGGAGAGCAGTGCTTAACAATCTTTCGTGGACATTTGCAAGCATAGTGAATTCTGTTCCCGATGGTGTCACACTCATATAAGGACGTGAGTAAATATTTATATTATTTTAAAGAGTAACAAGAAATGTCTTGAGAGTGGAGGAGAAAGTACGAACAATCATTTCATTATATGAATCACCACCCCGCAAAAAATATGCGTATAACAAACGTCACTGGAATTCTCGTTCCAACAAATTAAATATCAGAATATCAAGTTAATTAAGTCGGAGGAATAAAAATGGTCTGATGACCTTTCACTCGTTAGTTAATTTGAAAGATGATAAAACAAAATGAAGCTTCATTTTTTAAAAGCCTTTGCGAGACATGATTTCTTCAATCGCCAAAAAGCGGGACGAGGAGTGTTTAAGAAATTTCACTTTCGGAGAATTTCTTACGTACGATAGAGAAGCTATTCATCTATTTTTGTCAAGGACAATTTTTACGTTTCACATATTTTTTATTAATTATTTCCTTGGATTTCTATTGTATACACATTTTCTTCCGGGTCCCAACCAGAGACGTAAATTTCACTTTCGGAGAATTTCTTACGTACGATAGAGAAGCTATTCATCTATTTTTGTCAAGGACAATTTTTACGTTTCACATATTTTTTTATTAATTATTTCCTTCCGGGTCCCAACCAGAGACGTAAGGTCAGAAATAGCTTCATGACATTTTCCACTGATCATTTTTATATATAAAAAATATAGATTAAAAAACTATGGTCACACACATTTTACATAGATAAAGATCTTCGTAATGTGTGAGCTGTACTTGTGAATACAATTTTTTTTGTATTTCTTTAAGGCATGGGATACCAGGAATTCCTTCAATGAGTCTATCGGAATCTCTTCCAATCAATCCGAAAGCTCCAACAACTGGAGTTATTGATGTCCTCATGTGCGACATTTTTTTGATTTTCACTTCAAGATCCTTGTATTTTGATAGTTCTTTGAAGATCTTCAAAGATACATTATAAACTTCCATGTCAATAAGAAATACATTCTGTTCTTGTGATCTTTGATCACGATGTCTGGGCGATTAAATTTGATTGTTCTGCCTGTGCGTCTTGTAAAGTCCCATAAAATTGTTACAGGTCCTAGCTTTGTAACCGTGTCTGGGTGATTTTCATACCAGTTTCTTGCAGTTTCCTTCCCGTAAAAATTGCATGTGCTAAACACTGTGCGACCTGATACAAAATGCTCAATTGTTTCTGGATATTTATCATAGAATCTGCATTTCGGGTTAACACAATCTTTAAGTATGTGTACTTGGTAATTTCTAGTTAGCAAGTATTGATCCAGTGCAGCAAGAATAAAAGCTTCGGTTTCAGCTTTTAACCCTGCACTACGTAACCACTGATGGGTATGGGGTTTGTCTACATCAGCTTGTTTGGTACGGCCAGAGTATTGACCATGAAGAGGCTTATCTTGCCATCGTTTCTGCGTTTGGTACATTGCATTTGCTTTTGCTTTCTTTTTTAGGTTTGTTACTGCCGCAGTAGGTGTATTATTGTTATTATTATTATTGTTGTTGTTTTTGCTGTTGTTTTTGTTATTGCTTTTAACAGATGCGATCAAATGAAAATCAGAAAAATCCTGCCCTCTCGTTCAAATCACGATACTCACAAGGGCCAGCAAGTAGTGTATCATGTCTTGTCTTCGTTCATGTAATGGCGGCCTTTCGTAGCTGCACACGGACAAAACATGCAAATCGAAGAGTTATTTCAAAGTATGGAATATGAAACCTTAAAAGAAATTTCACACTGATGTGACAGCAAAAGGTGTATTTCAGGTTCTTATACAATTCAAAAAGGCACCCTATTTTCGGACTAATAAATAACACGAAAATATGAAGCCTGGTTAATATGCTTGCCAGAGAAAAGAACTATCAATTATAAGAAGACAAGATGCGAACTACGAAACGGAGATGTAAATATCAAACGACTACAGAAGTTTAAATATTTGGGAATTGTTTTAACACATGTCGGAAAATGTGACAACGACTCCCGAAGGCGTAGTGGAAAACCAACAAAAAATGACTTCCAAAAACCTCCACTACTAAGAAAGAGGATGAATTTGTTAGAAACAATGAAAAGAGGACTGAACTGTGGTATAATATCAGTCCTCCTGCGTGGCAGTGAATGTGTTGTGGTAGGATCCACCTAATTTGCATAGTGGAGTACCGACCATATAAATATGGTTGGTACCGGGAAGACGGGAGAGGAATCAAGAGATTCAATCCAGAGACTCTACCCGACTGCGACTAAGTCAACACATTCTCCAGGAACGGTCTTCCCAGGAATATACAAAAGACTATATGTAAATATTGTGTACACTTTCTTGTTTCTTGTTGTTCTAAGTACATTTTGTGTTGTATTATTATTCCATGCATTAGTCAAGTTTCAACAGAATGCTAAAAAATTCCCTCGCAGATGAAGAAAAGGCATGAGGCAACAGGAATATAGTTCTACAGAAAGATGCTGAGAATACCGTGGACGTTACACGTAAGCAACGAGGAAGACTTAAGGAAAATGGAAACGAGAAGGATAGTTATACTTAGAAGTAGAAATGGACGAGCATCAGAGATGTGGTTCTACAGAAGAAGGTTGAGAATATCATGGATGAAGTATGTGAGTAACGAGGAAGTTTTAAGGAAAATTGAAACAAGAAGGACACTTATCTGGGACACATAATGAGGAAGGGGGATTTTGAAAATTTGACGCTTACAGGACATCGAAGGTATGATGGAAGCAGTGATCTATCTAACTAAAGAGCTTATGTGAATGGATGGCGTTACAGGAAATGAAGGGTTGGTAAAAAAAATAATTACTTAAATCTACAAATAGGATAGGAACTTGTGAAAAGCTTGCCAGAGGAAAGATCACTCGCATCCTGAAGGGAAACGGCACATAAAATAAGAAGAATATGTTTCGTACACGAATACTGCATATTTTACGGCTACATTTAATAACTTTGTTCTGTCAATAATAATAATGGTCTCTGTCTATATTTCTGAGATGAGGTATTATGTACACTATTTACATTATTCGGGCTATTGTCCTCATCTTTGTCGCCATATTTATTACAACGTTTCGGCCGTTGTACTCTCCGGCCTTCTTCAAGTGGTGGGAATGTCGAACTGAACCCTTTATTTCGCTCACGTGGAACTAGAACAGTCTACCCCAGTGAGCGAAATAAAGGGTTTAGTTCGACATTCCAACCACCTGAAGAAGGCTGGAGCGTACAACGGCCAAAACGTTGTAATAAATATGGCTACAAAGATGGGAACAATAGTCTGAATAATATAAATAGTGAATAGCAATGGTCGATTAGCTGTTTCCTTATAAGGAAACTTTCGGCGTTCATTGATGGAGCAGTCGGTGATACATTCGGTTGAAATTTATAAAACTTTCTATTAGAACAATTTTTCAGGAAAATAGGTTTTTCAAGTTTAGTAGGTGTTATCGATAACATATATAATATTGATAAGCGAACAAGCCTATCGGGCCATGTTACGTTGAAATACCGGTTCTCGTACGATTATCGAAGTTAAGCAACGTCCAGCCTGGTCAGTACCTAGATAGGTGACCACTTGGAAATACCAGGTACTGTAAGCTTGGATATGCGGGTGGTGTAATGGATAACGACTCGAAATAGGAAATCGGTGAACCGAGTTTCAATTCCAGCCGGATTCGTTATAGTCACTTATGCGCAAATAACCTTGAGTAAAGTATGAATCCGCTTCTTCTTCCGCCCCCCCCCCCAATTTGTGTTAATTAGTAAGATTTGTATCAGTAAAAGTTATCTCCCAAAAATTCTTACAAATAAAAATATTTTCTGTTTTTAAATAACGTTCAAAAAGTTGATAAGCCGTAAAAAAATAAGAACAAATTCTATCGTAATCAATGACAATTGCTTATGCGGATTTCAAAGCTCAACAAAGATATGGAGCCATGAAGGTTATTCAAACGAATTTTAGATAAAAAAAAATGCAGAATATTTAGAGATTGTTTAAGTGCGGAAAAATATTAAAACAAGAATGACCCGTGAAAATTTTACGGTTTTCCTATTTTCTGATTAATCTTAATTCTTATATATTAGTCTTAAGCTAATGATTGAATAAGCTCATGGCGAGTTCTATTACTATAAAATATCCGTAGAAATTCCATATCTCATTGTCATATATTTGTGCTGAACAACTTTAACAAAATATTGCAATATCAATCATAAATATTAATGCTGATCATTATTTTAAGAAGTGGATACAAATGAAAAGATTTGAAATTGACAACTTTTTCTATTTCATTGACGTTAAAAACTTCTATCTTATCTTTCATTCATTCATTCATTCATTTTCTTACTGAAATCAAGTGCTTTTCCCCTCTTTTCACGCGATCAAAACGGAATAATCCAGTATTTATGAGGTATTGACAGGAGACGTTCAACACTATCTTTCCTTTATTTATTTCTAGCCAGATCCACGTCTTACGAACAGTTCTCTTAATAATGATTTTAAAATAATTCTCCAGACGATGCTATTTTATTTAATTTATGGTAATTAGAATTTTGGCGATTGCTTACTAAAATTTTAGATAAAAATTGCAATATTTAGATTTATTGTTTGAATGCAGAAAATGATTAAAATAATAGGAGTAGCACTAGCGGTAATGTGCAGCCGCAAAAAGAAAAGAAAAAAAAACACTGAGACCCTGCCTACGTATACTGGTCACAAATGCAGTCGACACTGAAACAGAATCATGATTATTGTTCAATTTTTATTTTTGGATTGTGTTACTACGTAAGTAATTATTAGAGAGAGGGTGAAAAAATTGACATATTTAATAATCCCTTGTACACGTATTTAATTCATCCTACAGCGAGCTTATAGATTTTTACGAAGCCTAGTTTTCTTCTTCTTCTTCTTCTTCTTCTTCTTCTTCTTCTGTGTCCCCTCAGGATGTAGCCAATCGTGGCTCGCCACAATTTCCTGTCCTTTGTAGCTCTTAATATTTTTTTTCTTTTCGTTATCTTTCTGAAACTTTATTCCACCATCCATAATGCTAAGTATGTTATGGATTGTTTCCCCTGTCCATCTTTCCATCAAAACTGTATGAGATTTTCCATGCCCTTTTTCCTCATTATGTGTCCTAGAAATTTCAACTGTCACTTCTTGCTGTTTGTTTCCATTTTCTCTAAAGCTTCGTCATTGCTTACATATTCGGTTCATGCTATCCTCAACATCCTTCTGCAGGCCAAAATGGAGTAAAATTAGCATAAGGAGATTTGTCATCTAAGTGGGCGGTGAATGATTGCTTTACGTGTTAGTATTGAGGGTTTGAATTAGTCTCTAACCGCAACTGCTGGCACAGTTAATAAATATGTAGCTACATATGATATGGGCAGGATATATTCATGCTTATGGTTGGTAAATATTCTGAAAAGATTTTCAAAATCTTCAGCTATCGTATGACGTAGTAACACTCATATCAATACATCGTTCTGTGTCTGAAATTTAGACAATAACACATGCTGCGATAAAGTTGAATATGGTGAAAGACTCCGGCCCTCCCTGGGGTTGTTTGAGAGTGATCAGATTGTAGGCCTTCGGGAAACTGAATGGTCATTTTAGATAATTATTTTCATATTTTTGGATATGACTAGTCGGCGGTGTTTCGATGTTAGCAACAATGACCAATGAACATAGACTTGGTTCTTATAATGGACTTACCAACAGCGATACATCGTAAGATCAGCAGTAGCAGACCATGCGGTGTTCGCAGCATAGACCAGCGCAAATGTGGCTTCAGGAATCGTTTACTTGCCGCAGGACTACGAGCACGCGTACTGCTAGCTAGACTTTCAATTACGCCACAACACCGCCGTGTGTGTTTTCACTGATGTCGCAAGAGGATCACTTCGGGAAACCAATGGCATTCTGTAATGTTTACTGATGAAAGCAGTCTTCCTTCATGCAAATGATAGACATTTGCGTGTGCAACGTAAACCTGGGCAGCAACATCTTCCAGATTGAATTCGCCTACTATAAACTGGCCTAATCCCTGACATCATGCTGTAGTTACAATTATACTTTGCCTTTAGTATTTGGGGAGGGACCTTTAACCAGTGCTATGTACATTCAACCCAGATGATTCTGCTGTCATTCCTGTAACGGGAAGGCAATGTGTTTTTCCAGATGGATAATGCCTTCCCACATGATGCCCATACTGCTCAACATACTCTGCAGGATACCCGACAACTTTTCTGGTCAAAACCATCACCAGGCACGTTTTTCATTGAACATATATAGAATATTATTCAATGACACTTGGTTCAGACCTACTATGACTGATACTATTCTTATTTTCAATTCCCACATTTTTCTATTTCAATTTCCAGGTTTTTATACTTCAATAGTTTTTCAAATTCCTTCGTTGTTATGTTACAGTCAGCTGGATAAGTTATATCAATTAGTAGGCAAGTTTTTTTCTTTTCAGTTTTTGACAATTATGTCCGGCATATTTGCTTCAATCTTCCTGTCCGTAAAGATGGTGTAATCTCATAGAAGTGTGATGTTTTCTGTTTCTTTATGCTTAGAAAGAATTTTGGTCGGATGGTGTGGTCGGGTGACCTTACAAAGTGACGGTCTTCATCCGAGTATTCGTATTCGTGGGTTGGCGCAAAAAATAAGCGAGTTACCTGGTGAAGTCAGTTGTTGTATAAATTTGCTACATAGTAGTCCGTTATTAACATTCACTGACCTGACATGTTAACTATACCACAAAACCCCAGTAACTATCGACTGATCTTATTTTTTAAATATTTCTAACTCCCTGATGGGCAGTCTTTGTATTATTTTCTCTTTTTAGCCACTGAACAAATAACTAAAATTATAATAAAATCTTTTTTTTTTATTTACTATAAAACTTAGTTGGTCTTCTTGTCGTTCCCTTTACTTCTCTTTGTTTTATTTCTTTTGTCACACACATGACAAACACACAAGGCTGCATAGATGTTTTTTTTTGTTTTTTTTTACTATCAAGACTGTAAAAACTGAGCAGTTTCGGCCCAGACAGGGCTGCAATACTCCAGTTTCGGCCTGATCTAATTCTTGTGAAAGTAGAAGATAGCAGGAGGATTCGGATACACACTGGAGGAGTACAATGAACCAGACATTTTTCTATTATCTTTACCAATGGATCATATATAGCAGTTCCACTTGAGGTCTGGGGTGAGCTTAAGTCCCAAGAGAGAAACCCTGTTTATTGATATAGACGAAAATTCAGGGTTTTCTCGGTGATAATAGGACGTTACTAGTTTGTTTTTTTAGTTATTGAATGTGACCAGTCAGTTTTTCTCTCATTGAGTTATTAGAGCCAGGCCAGAGTAGAGATCAGCTGTCAGGCTCTTGTCACCTAGAATTTTGATGGTGCATCCGTGTACCATTGTATTATCTGCATAGATATTCACAAAAGGTCGGAGTATACATTTAGGCAGATCATTAATGTAAAGCTGAAAGTGATTTTGACTAAGAAGCGAGCCTTGGGCAACACCTGCGTTGATTACATGAGCTTCAGAGGATTGCCGTTAAGAGCTATCTTCATAGACCTACCTGTTAAGAAAGACTTGATAATTGAGATTCTTATAACTGGAAAGCTTGTGCAGCAACGTTCTATGCTGCACCTCGTCAAATGCCTTGTCAAATATCTAATATAATCATTCTTGTGGTGTGTTTATTGTCTAATGCCTAACCGATTCTGTGAGTAATGTCATTTCAGATATCAACAGGGAACCAAACCGATACGAAATCCGTATTGTATGTCGCTCAAGTGGTTGTCTCTTTTGAGATGAATAACTGCTTTCATGTTCATTATAGCCTCAAAGAATTTACTGATGACACTAAGGAGGCTGATGAGTCGACAATCTTTGGTTTCGTTTGGTTGTTTTTGTTTAGCGGTATATCAACACCTCTGTGGGTTATTTAATACCTGAATCTAAATATTTTTATTCCTTTTTGTTTTTTTTAGATAATAATGGTTTTAGGGATACAAGTTTTACTAATTAACCAATAGTTGGTGGAGAAGTGGTGGATTCCTACCTTTCCCAAGGGTATTTGCGCGTAAGTGAATATATCGAACCCAACGCAGTTTTCCGATTAACAATTCCGAACTATTATCCATAACACCACCGCACATCCAAGCTTACAACACCTGGTATCCCCAAACGGTCACTCATCTAGGTACTGACCAAGTTGAACGTTGCTTAACTTTGGTGATTGTACGGGAGCCGGTGTTTCATCATGATGCAACCGTAAGCTCTGGCAACAATATGACGGGGTTGAACGCTCACCCGTATTCTTGAAAACAGGGCATACACTTGACCCAGGGAGAGTTTCTCCTTCAGGCAGCGGTGAAACTGTTTTGCTAAAATTAGGGATAACTCTTAAGAATAACAACTTGGATTTTATCTGAACCGGTAGCCTTCTTTGGGGTCAAGGCTTTGATAAGTTTTGAGACTTTCCTGGATGTGATAGAAATATTACTAAGTTTGTGCTACTTGAGGCGGGGGGTCAGGAAAGAAATGGTCTTCGTCGTCTAACGTGGAGTTAAATGTAATGATCATAGCGAAGAACTTTGCCTTATCTGACGAAGATGAGATAACCTCAGGGCCATTTATTATAGACACTGACGCTTTGCCTCTATTAAAAATTTGGCTAGAGATTTTCCAGAATTTCTTAAAATCTAAGACCTTGGCTTGGAATGTATTGTAATAGAATGTCACACACTCCCTATCCCCTATGCGGACTGACTATATCAGTAGATATATATATATAGTAAGTACAGGATATACCTGGGGGACTTGCTCCAGGAATTAGTTGGAGATACGTCTCCAGCTGTGCTGGTCAAACTCTCTGCCTCCGAACAGAGAGGTTCCCCGGACGAGGCTATGTCGAAAGGCAGAGTCTCGTCACAGGAAACACCTACCCGTCCCCGTTTTATACGGGGAATTTTTGGCCGAGCCTACGGGCTCAGATAGCCCACGTTAAATTAGGCCTTGTGCCACATCTGACCACGTTGGGCGCTTGGTAGATATCCTTGCTTCAGGAGTTACTAGACTGCTAACCGATTTCCTGTCTTTCAGTAGTGTATTCTCTTTTACAATAAACCTCTCTTTCTTTCATCTATGCCCGTGTTGCTGTTCCTTTAACTGGAGTACCACCTTTGTCTGTTTGTAACCTTTTTTAAGAATACAACAGAATGCTTGTGCATAGTTGCACTTTGCATTTTTTAGAACTTTTTTGCAATTGTTGCGAGCAGTTCTGAATGCAGCAAAAGTCATCCTTCACTGTTCCCTGTGATAGATATTGCAGTAGTGATTACAGTGAGCTATGGCTGCAGCACATTCAGGAGTGAGTCAAAGCTGGCTATTGGAATTCTTTCTGGGGTGCACAAAACTTTCTATGCCAAAAAGAATTGATTCAGAGATGAAAGCGGCAATTCTGGAGGCTCTATATTTGAAGAATACTAAGAGAGAAGCTTCCGCCATATATGATCTGAGGCTGTCCATCAACTTTTAGTGCCCCGAAAAAATCGTTCTGTGAGACGGCATATCAGGGAATGCCTTTGGTTCAGCTTCAGCACTGACCAGTGAATGGTCTGAAGTGCCCAGGGGAGGTAACTCTTCAGTGGACTATTTTTCATAATCAATGTTTTAAGCGAGAAGGCACAGATTATTTAAAATGAAGATATTCGAATAAATCCCAATAAAGTTACTTTAGTAGAAAAAAATGAACGTGTTGCTTATAGCATAGTCAAATTATAACAAAATGCACACGGCTCATATTGTTATGACAAAACTTGTTTATTAGATTAAAATTTTAATGGAATGTGTAACCAAAGGTGTATACAGCGAATGCAGAAAGCATCATCTTTAAATATAGTCTTAAATAATCAGAAAAAAGCGGCTTCTCGAAAGAGCGTCTCGAAATATTTGACTGATCTCATTGACAAAGCCGGATGAGAGTATTTAATCGAACACCCACTCGAATGGAATGTTACACAAAGCCAAAACTAAAATGGTATTTCCATGTCTACACGGGACTAGGAACAACAAAAGACTCTTGCCACTGGAAACGACTCAGTTACCAGGACAGTATCTCTCCCACGGGAGAGATACTGCCCAAGAGGTACAGACACATAAGTAGGGCTTGAGTACTTACCTTTGTTTTTTTAATAATGCTTTGGCGTGGTATAATGGTTAGCGAGGCTCTGATATGCATCATTTTTCTACCGAGTAGTGAATTCGATATCTGAGGCGTTGTATCAAAACTAAACTCAGTGATACACGCTTAGGCGATCGTGTATCTTTCGATACATGACTGACGAGGCAGATTTTTTCCCCGCAGTTGGTTGCCATTATGGTAGACCAGTTGCCATCCAAAGCTATAGAATCCGGTCTGTCCTGCTATTTACACATAACTGGCAGTGTGGGGGGAGGGAGTTAATACTCTTGGGTATTAGCACGTAAGTGAATGTAATGGATTCGAATGGAATTCGAACTCGGCTCCCAGATTCCTCAATCAGAGCCGCTATCCATTACTCCACCGTGCCTTCACTCAAACTAAACTGAGTTTTGTAAATAATAACACGAATGTGCATAAGTGGGGTTGTTAAAGCTCTGATATAATTTTATAAAATAAAAATCCTGTTTTCATTCTAACGGCTTATAACACACCAAAAGTTAAAAACCGGCAAAGCTTTCTCAGAGAAATCATTTCCGGCTCAAAACATCATATTCAAAATTGGTTCAATATCAAATCAAAAAATAAAATTGAAGCCGATCTTATAAGAAGAACTGATAACAGTAAGAAAGAACATTTTCAATTCGACTTTATTGTACTCTTCTTCTTTTTATCACTTATAGATCAACTCATCCTACTTTGAAAAGTATCTAATTTCAGAGACTTTAAGCTTACAAGTCGGATTGATACAAAAACCTAATGAAAATGAAAATGAAAAGAACATTGACAAACAAAATTTAATACATCTTTTTCTTTATTCCAACTGTTTAAAAAGCATAATGTATATATAATAAATTTACTATTTTTATATATCAATGTAACGTTTTTTTGTTTTTCCCATTCAGCTGCATATATATCCGGAACTCAACAAGGATTATTTCTCAAACTTAGCGTACGTACGTGTAGCCTTCAAAAGCTAGTGAGCCTTTTCTATTTAAAACCCTCAGCTCAGAATAAAAAGGTGAACATCCCGTTAAAGATTGAACAAGTAGCAGATCTTTTAATTACTCGTCTTGTGGACCTAATCATGAATAGATGATTTGGCAATAATTTTAGTTAGTTTCTCTCATTCCCTATGGAAAATCGGGTCCCTTTTTCTTTTTTGATGCCTCATCCGAACGAAAGCTGACCAAGCGTAGCAAAGGTCGTATTCATTCGGACGTGCAAATAATAGGAGTTTCAATGAGAATTTGGATTCACAAGCGATCCCCAGCCGCATGTATACATGGTGCGATCCGATATGAATTCAGAGTTTCCCTCTCCTAGACTGGTTGCCACCCAAGGCTATAGGATCCAGTTTTCCTGCTATTTTATCCATAGCTGTAGGGAGAAGAGATGGATTCATACATTTCCAAACGGTATTAGCACATAAGTGAATGGACTCGTCTGGGATCCGAACTCGGCTCTCCGATTCCTCAATCCGCAACACTAACCATGCCTCCATATTTTTAATTTTTAATTAACGATTAAATAATTGTTTCTTTTAAAATCTCAAATAGGCTTTGTAACTTAAATACGCAGCCTACATACTTTAAATAAATTGGTCAGAAAATTGTCGTTTGTAGTCATCAATGTAAGAATTTGTAATTTCTTGGTTGCGTGTTTAAACAATTATATAATAATGTACCAAAACTGTAACTAAAAATACAGGTCACAATAAGACCATAGAGATGCTAGCCGATCTTAAAAATAAATTCTAAAACTTAATTTTTCTTTTGACTTGGAAGGTTTTACAGAATTTTTTGTTCACACCAATAAAAAAAACAACATTTATTCATTGATTCAACGATCTTCTTATTTTGCTTGGGATTGATTATACTATTGACTTCGTCATTTTTATGATGATATACGTGAAGTGTGATGAGTAAACAATTGTAATAAATGCAAATACAAAGAAAGACAAGTGTTGACTCAACGAGATCAAATTTTCTTTTCTTTCTTGTCATGTGTATGTATATATCAGCAGCAGTCTGTGAAGTCCCAACTAAGAAACTTAGCAAGCTAAATTTCTATAGTAACTTGTGATATATAGCAGTAAATTGTATATACAACAGAGAGGATTTGTCAAATAAATGTTTTGATTGTTTAATAGTGAGAGAACATACTAGGTTGGTCAAATGACTTTGGTCGGAATCCATTGTTAAAGAAAAATTAAACATCCATCCGATCAGAGTTAAAGAACACATTCAAGATGTAGGCTTGTTGAAAAAAAACAAAAGATATATTTCGGATAGTGATGCATATCACATAAATATTATTACATTGGAATCTTTTTCCAATGATTATCTCACATTTCTCGATGTTTAATACACTCTCAGCAGAGAGCCATATGAGCGAGTAAGAAAATTGAGTTACACTAATTCTCCAAGTGTGAAGGGCCCTGCATAGCTTGAAAATAGCATTCGATGTTTTTTACTGGGGTTAGAACACTGATCACCAGTACCGACAGGAAGTACACAACAACTCTATCCATTGTTTTAAATTCTTATTGTTGATTCCAATGGCCAAAACAATTTCTACATACCAAATACTGAATTACCTCCCTTACATTTCATTTAAATTTCTTTATTTAGCTTCCATCCATATTTTGAATCTGGTGTAAGATTTTAAAATTTGGAAACAAGGCATACATACATTTTGGGAAACTAATTTGGCATAAATATGTCCTGGAATTCTTCTCTTTTTATCAGAGATTAATCAGTTGTTATATTTTAAATAAATTATATCGTATTTTGAGTGCCATATTTCGTTTGATTTCTCACAGGCAATGATACCTGCCATTGCGCAGGCCAAATCATTTTCATTTGCTTCGCTGTTCCATATAGTCGTTACTTTGGCATAACTTAAATTGTCATAATTAAAGCAGTTCGATGGGTTTAAAGTGTAGAATCATTTATCTTATATTCGCTATTTTCTAGTATTATAATTTATATTTCTTAAATTTTCATAGGTCCCTCCACAGAAACGCAATGCCCAAGGTTTAAAATGAATTTTAAAAAATGAAAA